AACGTCTCAAAGAGCTTCACAGGAGATACTGTAAACTGAGTTGACTGTATATTTTTTGTTTGCAAACACGGCAGCCAATTGCACACAGCAGTGTCCCCACAAACAATCGTGGATTGAGTGACTAAATTAATACTATTTTTACTATTATGTGGAGTAAGGGAATCAAACCCAGGTCCTCTCGCTTGCGAGCCGAGTGCTCTTACCACTACAAGACTCCACGTCGCCACCCCCACCTCCCTCACCACTGCCCCGATTAACCTGAGGGAGGGAGGGGAAGGAGGGGGGGGCGATGCCCCCAACCCCAATCAATTGAATGCAAAACACAGTCACTGCACTCTACAGTGACTCCTGAGAAGCGCTTTGAGATGTCCGCCCGACGTAAAAGGCGCTGAGTCAAACCCAAAAGCGAGGACGTGGGTTTCAATAATTAGCCTCCGTCTAATAAACTGCTGGAACAGACTCCATGGGCTGAATGGCCTCCATCCTGCTCCTGGGTTTCTAGTTTCTAGGGTTTTATGATTGGAGGAAACGGGGTGGTTGGTTAAGGGGGTGGGAAGAGGATCTCAAGCTGGGGGTGGGGGCTTAGGCCCCCTGTCAGGATCAGGGTCTGGTCCCCCAATGCATCACTTACTCTCTGTCAATCAGCACTTCCCAATGGACAGCATTGATTAATGAGCAATTGGTCAGTGAGAGAGAGTTGTGCACATACACACACACACACAGACACTCCACCACCCCTCTCGCACACACACACACACACACTATTCCACCCCGTTTCGCACACATACACTCACAATCTCCCCCCCCCACCCCCCCCCACATACACAGTCTCCCTCCCTTAACACACACACGGTCTCTTCCCCCTAACACACATATACACACACAGACATATACACAGACATACACACTTCACTCCATACACATACGCCCACACAATATACATTCTCCCCCCACATAATACATACATAGAATTCCCATCCACTGACACACACACACGCACACATACACACACAGATTCTCATACACACACTGCCCCCCCCCACCCCCCCCACACACACACACAGACAGACTCCCCCACGCAAACAAACACACACATACAGTCTCATTCATTTAACCCTAATTTAACCCTAACCCAACCTCTCTTTGCCTCTCTGCCCACCATCCCACCCTTCAGCTGCGGTTGATTTCCTACTGCCCTCCCCGCATTCCTGGCACACAGCGGAGGGTGGTGGTGGTAGGGCGGAGGGGGTGAGGGTGGTGGGGGTCGTTCGGCTGCCTTACCACGTGTGTGCCACCGTGAACCTCCGTCGCTGGCGAATCCCCTTGTTGACCAGCAGCTTGCGGAAGAGGCAGGGGGAGTTGCGGGGGGAGATTTTGGGGGATGGGGGTCTCATGGCCGACAGTTTTGGGGGCTCCAGATCCAGGTGCATGTGGTCACGGAACGTCCGGATCCGGCATTCCGGCTCACTGCGTGGAAACTCCATCGCCATAGCGCCCGGGCTGGGGTGGGTGTGGGGGGGGGGGTCAGGCCATCGCAAGATGGGGAGTGTGGGTGGGTGGGGGGGGTGCTTCGTACGTATGGGGGGAAATGGGGAGAGAAAGGGCTTTGTATTGTAAGTAAAGTCAGGGATCAGAGGATGGAAAATCTGTCCGTCTCCGAGATTCCAGAGGTCTGAATCCACACGTCGCTGTCCAGCTGTTCTGTGTGAGCTCTCAGCTGCTCTGATCGCTTCTCTCCAGCACTCTCTCTCTCTCTCTCTCTCTGTCTCGTTCCCTCCCTCGCACTCTCTCTCTCTCGCTCTCTCTCTCTCGCTGCTCAATCTACGCCAATGAGCTCACTTCTCCCAAAGCCACCTGGTGGGCGTGAGCTGCAGAAACAAAGCAGCGAACATCCCAGGTTCATTCATTCGATCGTTCATTCGTTCATTCATCCGAAGCACCAGCCTCACTCAGCGCAGGAGAGGGAGGGAGGGAGAGAGAAAGTGAGGGGGACGGGGAGAAGGAGGCAGAGAGAGAGAGAGAGAGTGAGAGTGTGAGGGGGCAGACGTAGGGTAGTCCTCTAATTATAATAATAATAATCTTTGCATTTGATGCAGCGCCTTATCACGTCATTGAGACGTCTCAAAGCCCTTCACACTGTAAAGTGAATTGATTGGGTATTTTGTGGGTGAAACGCGGCAGCCAATTGCGCACACAAGTGAGTGTGGATGGACAGCCCATGGAATCAGAGAATTATATATACCCATCACAGAAGGAGGCCATTCGGCCCACTGTGTCTGTGCCAACTCTTTGAAAAGAGCTGCGCAAATCAATCCCATTCGCCCGCTCTCTCTCCTTATCTACTTCGCTCTTAAGAGCTGTTATCGAATCGGCTTCCACCAGCCTTTCAGGCAATGCATTCCAGATCTCAACAACTCGCTGTGTGAAAAATTCTCCTCACCTCCCCTCCCCTCTGTTTCTTTTAACAAATATCTTAAATCGGTGTCCTCGGGTTACCGACCTACCCGCAGGTGGAAATAGTTTCTCCTCGTTCACCCTATCAATCCTCTCATAATTTTGAAAACTTCTATTAACTCCTCTCAACCTTCTCTGCTGCAAGGAGAATAATCCCGGCTTCTCTCGTCTCTCCTGATAACTGAAGTCCCTCATTCCTGGTACCATCCTGGTCAATCTCCATCAGCGGCCACAGATGCACACTCCATCTCACCAAGCCAGTGAGAAACCTGGGCGTTTTGTTCGACCCTCAACCGTCCTTCCTCCCCCATATCCGTGCCATGACCCGCTCTGCATTCCCCCACCTTCTCAACATTGCCCGACTCCGCCACTGCCTCACCCCTCAGGCCGCTGAAATCCCCATACACGCATTCATCACCCCTCAAGGCTCGACTACGACTTAAGCACCTTCCTTGTCGGCCTCCCCAACTCTTCCCTCCACAAGCTGCAGATCATCCAGAACTCTGCAGCTCGTGTCCTCTCCCGCACCAGGCTCCGTGGCCCCATCACCCTCACCCTCGCCCGGCTCCACTGGCTCCCCATCCCTCAGAGGATAGAGTTCAAAATCCTCGTCCTCACTTTCAAGACCCTCCGTGGCTTTGCCGCCTCCTACATCTCTGACCTGCTGACCCTCTATCAACCTGTCCGCTCCCTCCGCTCAGGGGGCTCCAGCCTGCTCCATGTCTCATGCCCGACCCGCCCTACCATCGACGGCCGGGCTTTCAGTCTCTCTGCCCCCACGCTTTGGAATTCCATCCCAGAATCCCTTCGCCTCCCTTCGCTCCCTCTCTTGCCTCCTTCAACGCACGACTCAAGAGCCTCCTTTTTGACCGTACCTTTAGCCATCCTCCTACCCCCTCTACCCTCACTCATCCCAACCCGCCCCCCACGCTCGGGTCCTGATCCCTGACTGTTCAGCGCCTTGGGACGTCCTCCCGACGTGAAATTCGCTTAACAAATATCATTTCGTTATAGCTGTTTGCACTCTCTCCAATGCCTTGACATCCTGTGGTGCCCAGAACTGAACACAGTCTCTCGCTGAGGCCTAACCAGTGTTTTATAAATCCATATAAACCACATCAGAGGGAGGGAGCTTTAATGTGTCGCTCTAACCTTGATCTGGACAGACACTGAGGGACATTTCACACAGATAAGCAAAAATATTCCCAAAAGGATATTAAGATTGACAACGACAAAATATTACCATCAAGTGGAGGAGTTAAACTAAACCAAATACACGGCGTTTTGCTCCCCTCTGCAGTCATTAGCGAGTACTGCAAATCTAATTTTATATTAATGATCCCAGCATCTGATCCAATGTCAACAAAACATCAAAATATCTCAAAGTGCTTTAACACAGAATTGCTGCCAAGTCCAGTGACTGGATTTGTAGCAAAACGCAACAGCCAATTCAGGCTTTCAGCCACAATAATATTACCCTTACATTTGACACAGTGCCTTTATCACATCTTCGAGACGTCTCAAAGCGGTTCTCACCGAATATATGGTGAAGTGGATTGCCTGTGTGTTTTGTGGGCAAATCACGGAAGCCAATTGCGCACAAAGGCATCCCACAAACAGGCATGGCTTGAGTGACCAAGTTTTTCCAATATATATATATATACACACACACACACGACTGTTCGTGGGACATTGCTGTGCGCAATTGGCTGCCGCGTTCGCCCACAAATATACAGTCAATTCACTTTACAGTGTGTTCTGTGAAGCGCTTTGGGACGTCCTTCAGACGTGAAAAGCGCTATATCAAATGCGAGGATTATTATTATTTTATTATTATTATATCAATGCAGCCCTCCCCACAGTATTGCACTTTAGATCAGAATCCATGACATGGGGCTTGAACCCAGAACCCCCTGAGCCGGAGTGAGACCCTCTGTGTGGAGACTGAGCTGAATCTCGCAGGGACTCCGACGCCTGTCAGTCAACAGTTCTCAATCAATAAACTGCAGCAACACAAAGATGCTCGAGGCTCATCTATCGTGCACTGTCTGCTGTAATACACCACCACAGCCACGAGAGAGCACACATCAGCCACCGCCAGCCAGGAAGCAAGAGACTCGAGGCAGCCAACTCCCTCTGGTCCATACCTCAACACTCAACGTCTCCAACTCCCTCCTGCGCACCGCTCCCCCCACACTCTACACGCCCCCCCCACCTCCAGGGCAACCCCCCCACCTCCCACCACCACACCCAACAACACTCCATCGCACCCACCCCACCCTCACACCACCAGACTGACAGTCCCATCAACACCGGCAACAAGCACTAAGCCAACGCCTTTCACACAGACTCCGATAACCCACCCCAATAAAATCATTAGTACCCCCAAACCTTGCCTGGCCCAGTGAGCCCTTCACCCCACTGACGCTCTCCACTCGCTCCCAGGAACTGCTCACGCCCCATTTTCCCACCCACCGTGTCCCTTCCCACCACCCCAGTCAAGAGTCGTAACGCTTCCCCACTCGTCGCGCTGAAGGTTGACCCACCTGTCCTGGTCCACGGGGGTGATGGCTATCCGGGGCGGGGTTCGGAGTTGCAGGGTGGTGGGCCGGGAGATGGGGTCCCGCTCGGGGGTCCTGGCCCGTTCCCCCTGGCGCCACGACAGCGGAGGCAGCTGGAGGGTACCCGAGAAACGCCTGCGTCCCCTGCGCAGATCCACGCCCAGCGTGTTGCCCGTTGACGTGCACGACTTGCTCAGCTCCACGGTCTCGCAGCCCATCTGAGAGAGAAAAAAAACCTAACAAAATAGTAATAAAAATTAATAAATCGAATCGTAGAATCTTACCGGCCGCCTCTCCGTGCTGTAAGATTCTACGGTTCTGGGGATAATAATATTTGATAAATCGCCTTATCGGGTCGTTGAGACGCCTCACAGCACTTCACGGGATATACTGTGAAGTGGATCGGCTGTATATTTTGTGGGTGAAATTGCACACAGCAGCGTCGCACGAACAATCTGATTTGAGGGACCAAATTCTTATTATTTTTATTTTTTTTTAAAAAAGGGTTGTTACTCCCGGAAAGCAAACCGCCAATCGACTAACAACCGGGTTCTTATTTATTGCTAGGTAAATAGAGACGCGTGGACTTAACGAAACTTGCCTAAGGTTTCGCCCCCCCCTCCCGCCCGGGAATCAAACCCAGATCGTCTCACTTGCAAGGCAAGTGCTCCGGCTACTAAGCTACAGGATTTCGGGAGAGGGGGAATGGACTTTTCTCAGGGAATATTCTCCCGGTTGGCTCAGCTTTCCTCCTAACACCATCTCTCCGGGCAGTGAATGCCTTGTGAACCCCCACCTGCCCCTCTCTCCCACCCCGCTCCCACCACCCCCCGAGTGGCCATTGGAGGATGCCACAGCTGAGCCTGACCTCTTCCCACCAGTCCGGGTCAGTAGGGAGCGCTGTAGAGAGACCAGGAGCAGGACCTAACCCTTGGGAAGCCTTCCCTGCCCGAGGCTGAGCTCGGCTATCTCAGCGCGCATGGTTGCTCTGGAAAAACCGTCCTAAACGCGAACGTAACCAAGCAATCGTGAACTCACGTCTCCTGTAGTCACGGCCAGAACACTTCGACTTTTCTTCATCTCACAATCCGCTCCAGGTCGAGCCCCTCCTCTCGCCCCCAGGGATCTCTCCGGCCGACAGTCCACTCACCAGCTCACGAGGAACGCCCTGTCGCATGGTAAAACCATCAGGAAAATCTCCCCCCCCACCGCCCACCGCCCCCCCATAAAATAACCCCCAACATCAAACACCTCAAAGCGCTTCACTGGATTCACTGGAAAGTGTAGTGACTGTATTTTGTGGGCGAAACACGGCAGCCAATTTGCGCACGGCAACGTGCCCGCCAGCAGCTTTGAAGTAAGCGACTGATTTCATCCGGGCGTTTATTGGCGTGTGATTTGGGTGTCGGTGTGAGTGAGTGTGTCAGTGAGTGAGTGTGAGAGTGAGTGTGAGTGTGAACGTAGAGGCTGCAGGAGCCGAATGAGGAGATTAAATCAGGATTCACATGTGTCAGATGTCGGGAGTAGGATTACACCAACACGTGGTCTGGAATCTGGGTCCAAATCTCCCCCGAACTCGGCTTTCAATTCAACTCTCTCGGGAAGAGAAGAGCCTTCGTGAGTAAATTGGTTCAAAGGTTTCAATTCCACAACGAGACGTTAAACCTCACTCCACGTCGGTGCCCTGTTCAGGCCGACTTTAAAGATCCCGCGGTCCTTGAGAAAAGAGAAGGGAGTTTCTCTCTCTCTCTCTCTCTCTCTCTCTCTCTCTCTCTCTCCTCGTGTCCTGGCTGACAATCCCCCAGATAAAATCGCTCGCTCACCTACCGGCTGTTTGTGGGAGCCATGTGGATGACGGTTTCCTTACTCCAACACCAATCAACGCAAAATAATAAAAATGCGGTCGCTCGATCCACGACTGGTTGTGGAGGCGCTGCGCTGCGCAATTGGCTGCCGCGTTTCGCCCACCAAATGCACAGTCACCAGGCTTTACAGTATATGCTACGGAGCGCTTTGAGTTGTCTCGAAGACTTGATAAATAAAGCACTGTATCAAATGCAAGGATGATCATTGATATCATTATTATAATTATAATGCACAATAGCCCAACCAGACGACAAGCCCTAATAATCTGCCGTCCGCAGCCTTGTCCTATCGCCGCACAGCTGTAACCACGGCAATCATCAACAGTAGAAGCCGTTGAACGGATGTCAACGCAGTCCACAGGAAACACTGGACTTTATCACTGAGCGAAACAAGCCACAGTTTAAACACTCACATTCACTAAACACCCCATTCCCTGCTCGCTCGCTCTCTCTCTCTCTCTCTCCCCATCGTGTCTGTGCCGGTGCTCGCTCCCCCTCTGGAGCTCTCTACTCTAACCCCGTTCCCTGCTCTCGATCTCTCCCCATCGTGAACGCAGTAATCGTGTTTGCTCGCGAGATGCAATCAGCAGATAGGAAGCCATCACTGCGGACAGGAAGAGGGCAGCTCCAATGGGAAGTCGACGGTTGCTGGAGGGCGAAGCTCCCCTCCGCTGCGTAAAAAAAACGTAAAACTTGAGAGAATTCGGGGAACTCCAGGATAGATTACAATGACAGGAAGGGAGAGTGTGGACGTCAGAGATAGAAAGAAATAAACTGCCTTTTGTGTCTGTGGCTCCGGTCGAAGTCCCACAGTAAATAATGGGGGTTTCTGTGGGGGAATTGTTGGCCAGGACACCGGGGGAGAGAAGAACTTCTCTCATTTCCAAACAGCGTCATAAGAGACCTTTTACAGACGTCTAGATGAGACGTTAGACCTCACGCCACGTCTGTAAACAGAGCAGAGACGTGGAGTGAGATTTAACTATTCATCTGAAGGACGACACCCCCAACATAGGTAATACTCCATACCCCACACCCCAACACCAATCAACTATTAACTGGGTTCCCACTTACCGCTCGGTAAACAGAGGCATGTGGAGTAAAGAAGCTTGCCCAACAACAACAACAACAAGATTACATTTGTATAGCGCCTTTCACGTCAGGAGGACGTCCCAAGACGCTGGACAGTGTACAGCATTTCAGATCCGAGCTGGGGTCAGGGAGGGAGAAAGGGGGGGAGGAGAAGGGGAGGTGACCGATGGCATGGTCGAAGAGGAGAGTTTTGAGGTGGGACTTGAAGGAGGCTAAGGAGAGGGCGAGGCGGAGTGATTAGGGGATGGAGTGCCAGAGGTTGGGGGCAGAGTGGCTGAAGGCTCTCCCACCAATGATGGGGTGGGTGGGTCGGGGGACGTGGAGCCAGAGCCGGCTGAGCAGAGGGAACGGGCGGGTTGGTAGGGGGTTAGGAGATCGCAGAGGTAGGGGTGGGGCGAGGCCCTGTAGGGCTTTGCATGTGAGCACCAGGATCTTGAACTGGATCCTCTGAAGGATAGGGAGCCAATGGAGTCGGCAAGAATGGGGGAGATGGGGTCACGGAGTTTGGTGCGGGAGAGGACACGGGCTGCAGGGTTCTGGATTATCTGCAGCCTGTGGAGGGAGGAGTTGGGAAGGCTGACAAGCAGGGCGTTTGCATAGTCGAGCCTGGAGGTGATGAAGGCATGAACAAGTTTCAGCGACCTGAGGGGTGAGGTAATGGCGGAGTCAAGGAGGGAAGGCCGAGCAGGTCATGGCTTGGATGTGGGGAAGAAAAGACAGTTGAGGGTCGAACAAGACATCTAGGTTCCTGACTGGCTGGTGAGTTACAACTCAGTGTGCTGATGCTGCCATAGCCTGAGGTGCAGAGGCACTGGCGCGAGTCAATCAGGAGGGCCTCAGTCTTGTTCACATTCAACTGTATGAAAATTTGCCCTCATCCAGGACGTGATGTCCGACAGGCAGTCTGTCAGGACAGCAGTGGTCCTGTAATTGAGGGTGGGGGCAGAAAGATAGAGTTGGGTGTCATCCGCATACATGCGGAAGTTGACCCCATGTCTGCGGATGATGTCACCGAGGGGGAGAATGTAGATATTAAAGAGGAGACAAGGACAGAGCCCTGAGGGACGCCAGATGTGACAGTGCGGGGGCTGGAGGAGAAACCGTTAAGAGGCAACGAAGTGGAGATGGTGAGAGAGATAGGAATCGAACCAGGCAAGGGCAGGTCCGCGAAGATTAAGTAAGGAGGAGAGGCGGTGTATGAGGATGGAGTGGTCAACAGCGTCGAAGGCAGCAGAGAGGTCGAGAGCCCATTGTTTCGCTTTGCCCGGGAATTGAACCCGGGTCCTGTCTCTTGCGAGGCGAGTGCTCTAACCGTTACACTACGGGACTCCACTTGTGTTTCTACAGCACTCAGTACCGCAGAGATGGGATCAATTGGAAGGAAGAATGGAGATCAGACGAGGGGAAGATAAGAGGAGGAAAAGGAGCACGTGAATGTCAGAAGCCTCCTCTGTCTTTGGCAAAGCTTCACGTGATCAGCCTCACCTGGAGGTTCACTCACCGCAGAGGGCTGTCAGGCGCTCAGACTTAGACACCGTCTCCAGCGGCAAGACAGACGCAGCCCTCAGCCGCTGCAAAGCTTCCAGAAGTTTCTAAGAACGTTTCTGGCCATTGTTGTGTGGATTTCATTGATCACGGCTGAGAGTTTGAAAACCATAGCCTGTGCACTCGCCTCACAAAGCAAGTGGTTCGATTCCCGGACAGGGCAAAATCTTAGGCAAGTTCCTTGCTCCTCACGCCTCTGTTTACCTAGCAGCAAGTAAGAGCCTGGTTGTTAGTCGATCGTCGGATCGCTTTCCGGAGGTAATAATCCCTCCAAAAAACAAAAATAATTGGTCATTCAATCCACGACTGTTTGTGGGACGCTGCTGTGTGCAATTGGCTGCCGCGTTCGCCCACAAATTACAGTCAATTCACTTTATAGTATATTCTGTGAAGCGCTTTGAGACGTCTCGATGACATGATAAGATGCTGTATCAATGCAAGGATTATTATTATTGTTGTTCCTCAGTCATCACGGTCCCAGCGGTCAGTTGTTGTCTGCTACCCTGCGCTGTGCTGTGGGGATTGAGCTCAGCAGTGTCAGAGACACCGTCCTTCAGTTGAGCCGTCCTTCAAACTTCACTCCCCGTCTAGGCCCTGTTCAGGCGGATGGTAAAATTCCCGCGGCACCAAAAGAGAAGAGAGTTTCTCTCTCGCTCTCTCTCTCTCGTGTCCTGGCCGACAATCCCCACATACAATTCCTTCGCTCACTTTGTCGCTGTGCACAAACTGGCAGCTGCGTCCAACCTCAAAACACAGTCACTACACTTTACAGTAAATGCTAGAGACCTTTTGACATTATAGATATATCCAAATGCATGCGGTTAACCCTAATCATAATAATAATAATAATCCTTGCATTGATAAAGCACTGTATTGCATCGTTGAGACGTCTCAAATCGGATGACTTATTCAGGAGTGAATAAACCCAAGTGAAAGGCGAGTCCTGTGTGCGAGATGCTGTGTGAGTCATTGTGCAGCGCTGGGAGATTTGTTCATCCTGTTTGAGAGGAGCTGTTATCAGAAAAGAAACAAACAAACAGGCTCCACTATCGCTCCCTGGGAGACTATCAGCCAGTAAGTAACTGGGAGGCGGTGATTAGGAACAGCTTTCTGTCTTCTCTGTCGCTGAGCTAACATCAACATAACGCACTCACTAACTACTGCCCTCGCCTGTTTGTTCACTTATTTCATTGTTACTGCTGTTACACTGTGTAAACAGGGTTTAGCAGGGCAACAACAACAACAACTTGTATTTATATAATACCATTCAAGCAGGGCAGAGTCTCAGAGCGCTTAACAGTGGCGGAGCCTGATGCCGAACTGGTGGGGGTGTGGGGTGTTGGGTGAGGGAGGGGGGGTGAGGAGGGTGGCGATGGAGGAGGTGACTGTAACTACAGTCAAAGAGGAAGGTATTCAGTTGTCATCCAAAAGAGTGGAAGGAAGGGACAAGGCGGAGGGATTGGCGGAGAGAGTTCCAAAGCTTCAGTGGCTGAAAGCATCCGCCGGTAACGGTTGAGCGAAGGGGACGAGGGACAAGCAGGAGACCAGAGCAACTTGGATTTGATGTAGCGCCTCATCACGTCGTTGAGACTCCTCAAAGCGCTTCACAAGATATACTGTAAAGTGGAGTGACCATGGATTTCGTGGGCGAAAGGGGGCAGACAATTTCAGACGTCTCAACGACGTGATAAGGTGCTATATTCAAATGCAAGGAT